ACCAGCAGGTCGAGGCTGCGTGGCCGGGAGCGGCCACTGCACTCCGGACAGAGTGAGACTCCAACTCAAAAAAAAAAGGGTGGGGGGCAGAGAGTGAGAAAGGGAACGAGGGAGGAAGGAAGGGAGGGAGAGAGAGGGAGAAAGGGGTTTCACTCCTATCATTGACTCAAGGACCAAGTCACATTGTTGGCAGGGGAGAAATGTTTAAGCCTGTGTTAAGACTCGCCAACACATAGACTATGGGGGAGCCTGTTAGCGAGTTTAAACTCTGCTTCAGATATGGAAACTGAGACTCAGAGAGGGAAAGAAAGAAATTCAAATTCAAAGTCATACAGCAGAGAGTAAGCAAGTCCCTGAGAGCCGAGTGGGACTGGGTGTCACCGTGATGGAAGCTACATTTTCTGAGTCTGGGTAAATGGAGGAGGCAGCTCAAATGAAGAAGCATCCACCCCACTTCTTGGTAGGAAGGCTGCCTCAGCCGGAAGAGACTGTAGCTAAGAGCTTCAATTCTGGAGTCATTGCCAGGGGTCAAGTCCCTCCTCTATCACCTAGCAGTTGTGCCACCTTGGGTAGGTTCTTCCATTTCTCTGAGCCTCAGTTTCCTCACCTGTAAGTAGGGATAATGGCTGTGCTTATCTAATGGGGTTGCTGCAAACTCACTCAATATGAACTGCTCCCACTACCACTCCCTCCATCATCACAGCCATCATTCTCAAGTCAGTGTGATTAAGGGTTAGGCAAACCTGGACGTGGTGGCTCACGCCTGTCATTCCAACACTTTGGGAGGTCAAGGAGAGAGAATCGCTTGAGCTCAGGAGTTTGAGACCAGCCTAAGCAACACAGAGAGACCTTGTCTCTCTAAAAAAATTTAAAAATTAGCTGGGCATGGTGGTGTGTACCTGTAGTCGCAGCTATTCGGGAGGATGAGGTGGAATCACCTGAGCCCAAGAGGTCAAGGCTTCAGTGAACCATGACCATGCCACTGCACCTCAGCCTGGGTAACAGGGTGAGACCCTGACACACACACACACGCACACACACACACACACACACACACACACACACACACA